GTGAAATATCTGACACAATTTTTATATGTTCATTTTGATAGCTGCTCAGTACACCCACAGCCTGGATGCTGATCTGGGTTTATGGTTAAAGTTTCACAACTGCAAAAATTAACTTGAACCAAAGGTTAATTTTCACTTGTAGCATTCTCTATCTTTCTCCTTCTCTATGGTGAAACTTTCCATCTTAAAGCAAATTAGTCTGTGAAAAGCAATGAAAGTGCCAGACGTGACACATAAAATTGTATTAATGTATGTATGTTTGTATAATTACTAAAAAAGGAATGGAGGCACAAACAGGGCTGACCTGATAGCTGGTATGATAGTGGTCTGTGGTGATGTGTTGGCTTTGCCGATGTCAGAGCGGATCCTCAGTTCCACCAGAGCCTGAATTTTAAATGATACGATGCCATTTTTTATGCCAAAGATCCAGTTTAAGCCAGAGACCCTGCAATAGAAATGAATGACTTCTCAGAGGAGGTTTTTTAATGTTCATTCCCCCTCAGACAACAAAAAACATATTTATGCATGTGTAATTATGTACAGCGTATGTGTGCACTCACGGAATTGAAAATATAGAGTTGCTGGAAAAAAGCCGAGAGATAACTCCTTCAGTTTGGCACCACTCTCCTCTACTCTCCTCGTCGACTTTGTCTAAAACAAGTGTCTGACCACCGATGTAGTAGGGCAAACTATACAAGCAGGAGCTGTAGCCCAACTTGTAATAAAGGATGCCCTGCAGATTTACAGTGAAGATGTGTTTACTTAAGCACCTTCAAAATTCACAAAGTAAATATACTTGTCTTTTGAGAAAGTGTACTTACAGTGGAAGATCCTGTTGAAACATTGCCACGTGGATAGTAGTTCACCACTATACTGTAAAAATTAGCCTGAACACTGCAGACCAGCAGCATCAACACCAGCGCAGAGCGCAGCATGATAAATGTGAGAAAGTCTCTGCACAAAAGAAAGTCATAGTAGGCTGGGACATGTTGTAGTATGAGGAAATGTTTCATGGTTGTCTGTTTGACAGTAATTTGCAGTGAAGACAGGGTTAACCGGTTTGCCAGTAACAAGGAAATTAGATTCCTTTCCACATCGTACTGGGACTTTTTGATATTTTAATTACAAATACTTTGATAAACAAATCAATTCACAGTTCAATTTAGTTTTATTTATATGGACCCACAAGTCACCTCAAGGAAAAGGTAAAACCCTAACAATGGTGCAAACCTTACTCAGCCGCACTGCTAAATGGGACGCTCATCCAGAAGGTGATTGGCACAGCTGGTGAC